AATAGACAAAAATCAACAAAACCAAAAAAATGGTCCCTTAGAAAGATCAATAAAATCAAGAAGCCTCTAGCCAGGCTAAGACAAAAAGAGGATACAAATTACTAATATCAGAAATGAAGAGGGGACATCACTACAGCTCCCATGGATATAAAAATCAAAACAATAAAGGACTACTATATCAATTCTATGCCCACAAATTGATAACCCAGATGAAATGGACCAATTCCTTGGAAGACATGATGTCAAAATTCACATTAAGAAGAAACAATCTACACAGGCCTATCTCTACTTAAGAAATTCAATCAATAATAACCTTCCAAAACATAAAGCACCAGGCTGGCCCAGATGGATTCACTGGTGAGTTCTACCAAACATTTAAGGAACAAAGTATACCAATTCCCCATAATCTTTTCTAGAAGATAGATGCAGAAAGAATACTTCCCAACCCATTCTGTGAGGCCAGTATTATCCTAATGCCAAACATAGGCAAGGACATTACAAGAGAAGAAAACTACAGATCAGTATCTCACGAACACAGATGCAAAAATCCTCAACAAAATATTAGCAAATCGAATCCAACAGTGCATAAAAAGAATTATATGCCAAAACCAAGTGGGATTTGTCCCAGGTGTAAAGGCTGGTTCAACATTCAAAATTCAATTAATGTAATCCATCACATCACTAATCTAAAAAAGAAAAATCACATCATATCAATAGATGCAGAAAAAACATTTGAAAAAATTCAACACCCATTCATAATAAAAACTCTTAGCAAATAGGAATAGAGAGGAACTTTTTAAAAATGTTTTATTTATTTTTGAAAGTTTGAGCGCGAGAGGGGCAGAGAGAGACACACACGGAATCCATGAAGTAGGCTCCAGGCTCCGAGCTGTCAGCACAGAGCCTGACACGGGGCTTGAACCCATGAACCGCAAGATCATGACCTGAGCCGAAGTCAGATGCTTAACTGACTGAAACACCTAGGTGCCCCTGGGGGAACTTCTATTTGACAAAAACAAAATAAAACAAAACAAAACTACAAAAACCTACAGCTAATATATCAATGGTAAGAAACTCAAAGCTTTCCCACTAAGGTCAGATACAAGGCAAAGATGTCCCCTCTCATCACTCCTTTTCAACAAAGTACTGGAAATTTTAGCTAATTCAGGAAGAGGAGAAAAGGAAGTAAAAGCTGTAGAGATTGGGAAGGAAGAAATAAAATTGTCTTTGTTCACAGATGACATGATCATCTCTATGTAGGAAATCTGAAAGAATTAACAAAAACACCTCCTGGAACTAATAAGCAATTATAGCAAGGTACAGGATACAAAGTTAATGTACAAATATGAATTATCTTCCTATACGTTAGCAATGAAGAGGTGGAATTTGAAATTTAAAACACAGTACCATTTACATTAGCACCCAAAAATGAAATACTGTAGGTATAAATCCTAAAAAAAAATAACATAAGAGCTAGATGAGGAAAACTACAAAATTCTGATGAATGAAATTTCTGAAAAGAAAGAAATGGAGAAATATTCCACGTCCATGGATAGGAAGGTTAAGATGTCACTTCTTCCCAACTTGATCTAAAGATTCAATACAGGGGCGCCTG